AAATATACGTCTATAGACTTTTTACTCACATCATAGTAACTAGTTACTACACATTATAGGAAACAACACGTTAAGATGAACATTTAAAGTGCTTTGAATATTTGCATCTAGTAACTAGTTACTATGATGTGAGTAAAAAGTCTACAGACGTATATTTTTTACTGATGTGAGGCCGAGCAGAAGGAGAAGCTAATAAATGAGAGGCTGTCCCATCTGTCCTCGGGGTGTTTCCAGTCTGTCCTGAGGGACACAGAGGGGAGGACACCTACACCACTGTCCCAATTTTCACCTCTATAAATATAAAACAAATGCTTTATTTTTTCATGCAAACCTGTTTATTTCTCAAGCTGAAACTCAAAAGTAAACTCACATAGCAAAAGTGGGCAACATAAAATTACATGAAGCCCCACACCCCACCCTAGAATAAAAAATTAGAGTGCTGCATTTAAATCTAAAACTTAATAAACATCAGCGTTCAAATTAGCACTTTGATTTGCTTTGGATCAGCTTCTTCTTTATTTTTCTTCTAGTTCTTTGGCTTGAGAATTACACATGCTGAACAGGTCAGTTACAGCCTTCATCCACTTCATGAATGTGAATATTTATTTTTAGTGATGGTCTGCAGAAACAGCCTAGTGTATCTAAGAATATGTGGCCTAAGGTTTAATACCTTTTAAAATTAGAGAAATGGCTTTTCCTGCAAAAACTAAGTGAATACCGAGTTAAAATAAGTAATAATGTGGAAGAAAGTCCAAATCAACAAAACCACAAATAAAAGCTAAAGTAAGCAAAGTTAAAATTAACAAAATCGTAGCTACAGGCTAAAGTTAGCCGAACTGCTATAAGATAAGAACCATTGATAAAAATTAAAATGATCAATATAGCTTAAAGGTAACATTAGCAAAATGGTAGCTAAAAGTTACATTAGCAGAACTGTAACCAGGAGCTAAAGTTAACAAGAAAGTAGCTAAAAGCAGGACAAGATGACAAGAACAGAGTCAGTATTGTGGGTGTAAATTTCAGAAAACAATGTTTTTGAATGAACTGATTAGATTCAAAAAGTATAAAAGTTATAATTATTTCAAGTCATAGCATCAGGCCAAACATTTAGTTTCATTTATTCATATTGTACTGAAAACAGTTAATTTATTTGTATTATTATTAGACCTTTATTTATACAGGTTAGTTCCCATTACAGGCAGATGAGGAAAAGAGAACAAGAGGATGGAGGAAGCCAAAAAACAAACAAATCATGTCTCACTCCATGTCCTGGCCGGGAAACAGTGTGAAAGAGTAAAAGAAGAACCTCGCAACATACAATGACATCATAATACATTTATGCATAGAGGTCGACAAAGCTGGTGAGTTATCTTTAAACACTCCAGAATGTTCCAAATAACAGCAATAATGTAAAAACAAACAATAAAAGGAAAAATTACAGAAAAAACAATTGCACTCATTAGAGCTAAGATGATTATGTAAAATAGGATCCAAGAACAATAATAGTTTAAAAGTACAAACTGAATGGAAGTAACTAGCAAAAAAAAATGTATGGAAGAAACCATAAACAAGAAAACAGCAGCGTGAATTTTGTTTGTTTGTTTGTTTACCCTTTATTTATACAGGTAGTCTAATTGAGTCTCAAGGACTCATTTGCAAGAGAGACTTGTTTTGGGAGCAGATGGTGGGGGGTAAGAGCCTTGCTCAAGGGCCCAGGGTGGGGCAAATGAGGGTGGAGGCAGGTGTGAGCGTTTCACCTTTTCCACCCACATTTTGATGTTGTTGGCCCGGGGAGTCGAACCGGCGACCTTCTGATCACAGGCCCACTTTCTCTAGCCTCTGCGCCACCACTCCCCCCTATAACTATTGAATGCATCAACAGGGTGCAATGATAGAATTTATGTTACTTTAAATTACTTTAGGGAGTCATTTTATCACAGCAAAATTAAAAAAGTTAGAGAAATAGTTCAGATCTTTTGAAGTGGGTTAAGTAGAAATAATTGCTTAAGCCAATGTACGGTAGACTAGTCTCTCACTTATTGTGGGGGTTACATTCCAAACACCCCAGATAGGTGAAAATCCGCAAAGTAGGGATGTTATATTTATTTTAGTATTTCTATATATTTAAGGCTTTATAAAACCTTCCCACACGCTTACAATGTTCTTAACAATGTTCTAATCCCTTAAAGCTATGTAATTTTAACATCATACATATATGTACTGGACAGTACTGCAAAATTTTACATGGGTATTCACCAGTGAAGATACTTGAAGGATGAATTCAGCTTCAGGATTATTTGTGACTTTCCTGCCAAATCTGTGATATTAATAGATAGATCGTTCTGACTTTGCGTTGCGAAACTATTTTTACCACATCGGCTTCTCCGCTAGTTGCTCCCTCAGTTGCTGTTCCTTGAATTTCCGCAGAAAGTAGCAGCCGAAAGCACTGTTGGCTTCTGGGCCGTGTAGTTCTTTCGACTTGTGTTACAGTATAGGCTTTTTGAAAGAAAACGACACCTGTCCGAAGTATTTTTTTGTTTATTTGTCCTATTGGTTGGTTCCTGCTCCTGTCAGCTCCCGTTAACTTTTTAACGCGTACCATCCCAATCACGTGAGTAATATTAAAGTTGACAATCATGTCACTCTGTCTGGAACAGGTCCCTCTTGTAAATGAGTCCTCGTGGCTCAACGAGACTAGCCTGTATAAATAAAGGTTGAATGAATGAATGTGTCATGTACAATCTTATGTTGAAAACCCATGAAAGAGTGAATCCGCGAAAGTCGAACTGCGAAGTATCGAGGGACTGCTGTAAACTTGATTTTATTCATTTAAAACAACTGGTTTTCTACGTAGACATTGCTTTAGTAGACATTCATCTCCCCACCTTCCAGTGAACGCGACAAACTGAGTGCCTCCCCTGGCGTCTGTCCTCCTCGGCAGCCTGGGGCACGGCACAGGTGGACTTCACAGCAACCTCCCGTTAACCTGACCGCCATGCTCAAACGCCACCTAAACAGCTGTCCCTCTCTTTCAGAGGCATTCTTTTTCCCACACTGAAAGAGTGTGTGCTTTAAGGGCGCCCAATGAAACCCTGTCTAAGCCTCAACCTGTTCCTTTGGCGATGATAATGACCACATTATCACGCGCCATCGACCGTCAACAATAAAAGACTGTTGTGTGCTTTCCAATCACCGTGGGCGCGGTGACAGAAAGAGCAAAGAGAAAAGAGTGAAATAAAGATCTGGCACTTCTCCTGGAGAGGGGTGGGTGAAGTATTTTATTTCCTCTGCTATCCCCGTCCCTTGGGTTGCTTTTGCAGCTATCCTGATCAGCTGCCCTGCTGAGACAATTAGCAGCAGAATTAGGGAGTCAAAGGACAATCTGCTCCACGGGACACAAAACTACTCAACCAAGAGTTTCTCCAATCGATTTTCACAGAGAAGGAAAAGGATAGGTTGTAAAGCTCGTGCAGCTTTTTGGAATATTTGTGACAGCCAGTGCAAAGCCACTGTCAATGATCTTATTTTGGTCAATTGTCTCCTCGTGCCCTTTAAACTCAACCTCGAAAACAAACTGAGCATGTTTCAGAGTGGTGGGAAGTCGTCCAGGTGAGGCTTGTGCCAGGATGTGCCTGGAGCGGCTCCCCTCTCTGCTTCCTGTAATTACTGCACTGAGAGGGCACGTCCGCTGTCTGTCAGCACCCGGCTGATGGACGACCGCAGCCGCAGAGTCAGGAAAAAAATCTCAGTTGGGGTTACTCTGAAGAAGTCTGGAGATTCCCAGTGTTTTGATCTTCTAATAAAGAATCGTTTAAAGACCCAGCATTTCTTTCAGTTGTACATCTCGTATTGAGAAATGACAAAAAGTTGTGACCGTTTTGGTCAAACCTTGAAAATAAAGAAAAATATGTCATGCAATGCTATGAGTTGTTACCCTCAGAGAATGTGTTGTGAGTAACTCTCAGCTACTACCACGTCAAAGTTTAGCTCATTATCTGTAAAACTGGCTGAGTTACAATTGTTTTTCTTTTGGCTTAAGTTGATTTGACTCTCAAATTAATTAGTTGTAATTGTACCTTCATTTCTGAAACGTTCATTGAAATTTGTCCTCTCGTTCATAAGATATTTTGCTAACAGACAAACAGGTTTGACTCCCAAAGTGAATGTAAAATTTTTAAGCAATGATCTTTTGCAATTGGTCGCAGTCGGAGTAAGTGTTGTGAGTGACTTTCAGCTACTACTAAACTAAATGTTAGCACAATATTTGTAAAATTCACTGAGTAAAGGGCATTAATTTGTTTTTCAAAGTCTACTAGCTGTAGAAGTCTTCTTAATTTTACAGGAGCTGACTTCAAAAGTTTATTCAGTGAATATTTCTTGAAGGTTTCAATAAAATATATGCAGTGCTTCATGTGATATTTTGCTAACAAACACACAAAGTTGACTCCAAAATAATTATTGGCAAAGTTTAAAGCATTCTGCTCATTTTGTTGGTGCTTAAACTGTAGTGTGACACACACACACACACACACACACACACACACACACACACACACACACACACACACACACACACAGTT